AGTGTCTGCATATTGTCCTCATCTCAGTGCTGTTAAACAGCCAAAATCGGCAAGCAAAATCTGTCTAACTAAAAATAGCATACAGCCTTTATTGTGAGGTACCCCACAGTTGACGACTAGGATTACTGCTCACAGTTCAGTGTAAAAAGACAACAGACATTGTTGAAAAAAAAAAGCCTCCAATTGGTGAGCAAAGAGGTAGTGTCGGGTCTGAGGCAATGTGAAAGCCATCACGGATTGTTAAGGTAAACCATAGATTTGTATTATTAACGTATCGTTAACATTTGATTTGAATGACCCATTCATGAAAGAAGACTTTGGTGCCTTTTCCCTAGGATGTCATTGCAACAAAAAGTGGCCATAGCGAAAGTGGAAATCCTGGGTGTGTGTGTACTCGATCAAGCAGGTTCCAAATGTATTTATTTATTTATTTATTTATTCAATTATTTTTCTGTTGGAGATTAGTTTACACTTCCCAATTATCGTTAGAGCCTGCCCAAGGGGAGAACTAACTCAACAATTGCCTTTCTGCAAGAAGTATGTAAGAGACCTGGTTTCACACATTGCCAGCAATACATTGATGTTACAAGCAGCTCTTATACAGCTAATGCTATCAGGATACAAAAACACAAAATATGTGCACCATTAAAAACTATCTAGTATTCAACACTTGACTTTAAAATTAACATGCACGAGTACACCCACATGACTTTGGTACTGGTATTTACTTTCTCAGTCTTCTTTTTGAGTATTCTCAACATTTTCATAGTAAATATATAAATAACTGTCGAGATACTCTTGTGCGAACAGAAGGTATACATGTCTTTTCGTAAAAACAAAGTCCCCCCAAAAGTTCCCGATGTATCACAGATTATTTTATTTTGGATCACTCAAAGATGCATTTTTGCCCTCTCATACATACAGATTACAAAATATGTCACTTAAAACACACACAATGACATGCACATACATATACACACACCCACCTCCCTTTTGTCAGACGTACTTCCTTACTTACTCTTCGTCATTGTGATGCATGTAAAGCGGAACATTGGTAATCAAGTCACAATACTAAATATTTCTACCTTTCTACCTCTTTACTTGCCAAAAAAAAAAAAAAAAGAAAAGAAAAAATGTGAGGCAGCGTGATAGAATCAGGCTCTCGTCAAAATAATGAAATCGAAGAAAACAGCAGTTTTCTCCCTGTTTAACAATTTTTATTAAATTTCTGTTTTTTGGCTCAACACCTTTTATGTCCATTTAAAAACACGTTTCTTTGAGGATTTCACCGAAACGTTTTATAAAGGCACAAAAATATAAATGTACAGTTTCTATGGACTCTCCAGCTTTGGAATTCACCATGTTTTGGCGTCCATTTTCTCGTAATTTTACCTCTTAAATCAGGTGACCCCCACCTCCCTCAATCCAAAATATCTCCACTTCTATTGAAGATGGATGGGTAATTTTTTCATTGAAAGCAAGACAAATAAATAAGCTTTAAGATGATACCAATAACTCAATATGCCCAAAAATTGACGAGAGCCTGGTTCCACCACGCTGCTTCACAAATAAATATAATTGTATTTGAAGATGTACACAACTTCCCAACCTCTCCTTCAATCAGTTTTTTCCTTTCTTTTTTTTTTGTTGTACGTATAATAAACATCACAAATTTGTATGCACGCGATCCGATCATGCATGAACAAATAAGTGTAAACTAAACAGTGAATATGCATGTACTAAATTAATTACTGAGTTAATTCTAGTGCTGGTTTCTTATTAAAAGCTTCTCTCAGTAGATAAAAAACAAAGTATGACAGCCTCAGCCTGACTGTGGCTGAACTTCTCCTTCCACTCTACTCATAAGGCAGCAAGCTAATTAAAGACACAAGAAGAAAAGACCAAAAAGTGAGTGCAGTCAACCTACAGATAAATCGTCAGCTCAAATTAGAAAACTTGAAGGGGAAATTTACACATATTTGAGCAAGGAAAATTAATACATGCCCACGTTGGCATTGATACTGGCATAATGATTGCTCTTCATGCACAATTCACTTTGCACTGGAATGTTTCTTTCTGTATTGGCATTTTGGAAGGGAATTCTGTAATGATAGTGTCATGTCAACGTCTAGATGTTCACATGGACAGAACAGCCAGTGAGTCTCAGTCATAATAGGGTTCACAGCAACCCACCCCCCACTCTCCCCCCCCCCCCCCCCACCAATCCCAAGAATGTTGTCAGGTACGTACCGGATCTCTACTTTACGTTCTTGAACATGATAATTATTTAATATTACTTTTTTTCATTCAATTACTGTCCTCCACACAAGTGAATAATGCCTTTCTCAGACTGAGATTGTGAATTGATGTTAATAGATTTTTAGTTTATTCTCTTAAACTTAAAAAAAACCCTGCTTTCCAAGAACCCAAAATATGAACAGCTTTTTCTCAACAAAGAAGGAAGCAATCTGCCACTCCCTACAGCCTATAGCTATTTTCTCTGTTTTCTCAGTCTTCTCTTTTTCTCTCCTTCTCCCTCAAAGATACAAACATACATAAGCTATACACATATAGACACATGTTCTCTTATAAAGGCCCCTTACTCTTTTTGTTTGATTTCTTGACGAGGCTCTCTTATGGTAAGTGAGTACATGAAAATAAGTTACATCTTAACAAGAAACAATCGTTCAAAAGTCCTTTCTTCTTACTAAAACATCGAATCAATTACAGAAAAATACATTGTTATAAAATACTCATTGCTTCAAACAATAATGGAACTTTTACTTCTTCATAGAGGTGAAATTCCTTTTAAAGAACAGCACACTAGACTTCAAAGTAATTGTGTAAAAGCTATTAAACCATGTTTCCTTTTTAAAAATGCCAAAGATTGTCAGCTGTGAAACTCCTATTGAAGCACATCACAATATGTACTCCACAGGAAATGGCCATGAGTATCACATGCCCTGAAGGTATGGCACTGCTTCATGACTGTGAACTTGTTCATGATTACATCCAATCAAAACAAGGTCGAGAACCTCCCTTTTCAACTTCTGTATGTCATCCCACATGTCAACGTCTTGCTCCATAACAATCTGCTGTATCATATTAACACGTGCACAGGCAAGCAGCATTTTGATCCACTATGAATCACGAGTGAACAATGAATTAATTGTATTATGTCGTAAAATATTTTAAATATAACATTCATATTTGAAATACATGTAACATATACATCCTAGTTTTCATAATCGCACTAGCACATTTCTTACTGTGTGCTTAAACGCATGCCCACAAAAAATGATAAGCATATTATATATCTACCAAATTGCTTACTCCACCTCAAAATCTTCCCTAATTGAAGAAGAAAAAAGCCCCCAGAAATTCTACAACAGGCCTCCAGTACATTCAACTTTTAAATACAACTTTTAAATACCGTAGCCAACTGTAAGTAGGTGCATGTATGTCTGGAAAAAGTGAATGCAGCAAAGTATGGAAGGTCAATTATCTTTATAACCAACTTTGTGGTCACTTCTGGTCTATTAAAAAAGGAATCAGGAGAAAGATAGGGGAACGCCCTTTTCAATTCCGGAAGTGTTAGTACTCTTGGAGACAAATCTATCGCGACAAAAGAAATGCAACACAAAGTGAGACTTGAATAATTATAAAATCAGACCGTGTTGACTCAGGGAGACCTCCCTCCCCCCCCCACCCCATCTCCCTTCTGCCGTGTCTCTGTTCACGTGCACGTGCGTTCTTTAATTCTGTTCTGCCTGTCTGTCCACCCTGCTCTATACCAGCTTTAATTCTGTTCTGCCTGTCTGTCCACCCTGCTCTATCCCAGCTTTAATCTAAAGGTTCAATGACTGCTATTGTGTGCTGATGAGCATAAGTCTGAAGCAGTACTCGCTTATTCCACAGAGTGAAGTGTAACGTACTGTAACATGTTGCCACAATGATTCCTCCTTTGTGTACTAAAGAGGCCTATAGCAGCTTTTCACGAACAGTTGGTGAGTAGGTATCTCTGTAAAAAGGAGTTAGAAGGCTGTTATCTCATATCTCAAACATCAAAGAGATACATGTAATACAGTCTTCACTTCGACGCCAACAATTATCTGTGACGTCAACAAGGAACTTAGCCAAAGAGTATCTATGGAAATGACATGAAGAAGACAAGATTTGATAAAACATCAATACATCAGTATCACAGCTAGGAATCTCTGTCTTGTTTTGGCTTTTTCTTCACTTTCTTGATCCTCTCCCAACGTATAGTCTCTGCCTCCAGGGCCCCCAGCTCCATGAGTCGTTGCTGGAACGAAGCTGGGGCTCCCACCAGAGGGTCCGGATATTTGGGCTCCACTGGAAAGAGAAGGGATGGGTAAGGGGAGGGGATACGAATATCATCAGGAACATTGAGCACAGAAATAAAATGTACAAAACAATGAAACGTTGATGGTTTAAGTAGAATAACGCATAGCTAAGAGAAAGTGACTGGTGTTTGTGATGTACCGTTAATCGAAGCGCTGTGTCGTCGAACGAGGGAGACCGAGTTTCATTCCTGAATGTCCCTGTCTTTCTGCTGGGATGTTGTGTTACTCTTAGTCCAGGTTGGCATTGACAGGCAGGCTCGAAGCCCCCTTTCTAAATGTCTCTAAATTGTGTTGATAGGGTGTAAAACACCTCTATTAAAAAAAACAACCCCAGTGGGGTGGTTGGCGGGTGCTCTGGTCTGGTTTGCTTCTTCTTTCCTATCAAACATCTATTGTCCTTATCTCCCCTTCTTCTTTTTTATGTTTGTTACTCTCTTGTAACACTTCTAATCTTCTGGCGCTCATATGACCTTACGCAGTTTCGTGCCCCGTAAAACCTCTACTAAAACTAAAACTAAAAAAACAACTCCAACAGATAACTGAAGGCGCTGAAAGTCACCCCTCCATAATATCTACCTTACTAAAATCATGATTTTGAATCTAAAAAAGTACATCTACTTTATTCTCCAATCAATGTACGTGTACTCACCTTCTTTGACATCTTTGTCCCTTTGTTGTGTTCTCCCAGCCGCCAAATTGGACAGGCCGTTGAAACTAGAGCTGTGTCCTAGGCGACCACTGGACATCGCGACTGAGATGGGCTTTCTCTGAGAGCCACACACACCACCGCCACCATTATTGTTGTTGTTGTTACTGCTGCTGCTGCCGTTGTTGTTGCCTGACAAGGACTTATTACTGGCTGTGGTATTGCTGGAACTGCGGGTGGGTCCGCTGCTGCTGGCCCCGCTGTTGTTGTTGTTGTTGTTGTTTGTGGTGGTGATGGTATTGTTGGCAGGGCTCCAAAGTGTTCCCATGGCAATGAGGTCTTCAGGTTCCCGGGCACCTGCCAGGAGGGAGGAGAAATGAAGACAAGTATGGTGAGTGAAAAATAAATGATAAAATTAAATAAAGACACCAGTTGGAAATCATATAAGCCACAATTTTTAAAAACCCAACAACAATGAAAGCAGCCAAGGAGGAGAAATGAATATGTACAAGCGTGGTGAATACAAAAATCTGATAATCAAATGATGGAATTAATTAAAGACACCGGTTGAAAAAACCATGTAAGTCACATTTTTTACGAATACAAAAATGATATCCCCCCCAGTTGCATTCTTTAAAAATCGAATCTTCTTCTCCGCATTCTTTGCAAAAGATTCAACGGATAACCCGGAAATGTCCTGTCCTAGTGTAAAATGAAAGAGATGCTGTCTTACCTATACGGGCTTTCACACTTTGAATTTCCATTTTTTTACTTTCTTAGAGTGTACCCTTTTGTGGGATTTTTTCCACTGTAGTTTTCCAGTGGTTCAATCGATTTTACTTGAGAGCTCTATCAGTCAACTAAAAAATGTCATTTGTAAGCAGAGAGTTTGACCTAAAGGTTAAAATAAAGAAGAATGAAGAAAGACAGAACAAAGACAGAGTGACAGCCAAAGTATATGTGACGTGAGTAACTCTGTTTACTTACAAATAAAGGAGGAAAGGAAGAGGAAGAAAAAAAAAGGAGAT